CTGCGAAAAATGTGTTCCTGAAAAAGCAGGAAACTAGCCAATTGTCTTCAACCTCGAAAGCTCAAAATGGAACTCTTAACAATGCCATGTGAGAGCTCTTATTTTTTGAATAATAGATCTTTGAATGAAAGCTCTTATTCAGTTTCATTAGGTCACATGTAAAGAAAGCTTTAAGTCGTGAAAACAATGGCCCTCTCAGGCCTTTTTCTGATATAAAGACATCTTGTGTTTCTATGGTATAATTGTAGGACTGAAAGCTCTAAGACACCAGATAGATCTGCTGAGAAGAAAACTAAAAAGAAGAAAAACAACTCAAGTGAGGAAGCTACAGTGAAGAGTAAAGCCATTACTAGTAGTGTTGAGAAGCCAAAGTCAGTTTCAATTTCTGAGGGGAAACAAGTGAACACCAAGTCTTCTCATGTGCGAACTTACCCGAATGGGCTGATTGTTGAAGAGTTAGACATGGGCAAACCGAACGCAAAGAAGGCTTCTCCTGGAGATCAGGTTTGCGAGTCATAAATTGCATATATGTCACATGATTACTGCATATAGGTCATGTAGATAACACAGAAAGGGGCTAGGGTGATAATAATATGGGTATTTAAAGAATTCACATCGGATAGAAGTGGAACAAACTAACACATTTTAGAACATATGGGCAGTGGCCACCCCAATTTTAAGCTAGTTTTTGTGGGAGTTGTACCAAAGTTTTATGTTGGCTACGTTTGGGCCCTGATTCTATGATAGTGTGTCAATGTATTTCCTTAGTCTTACTGCGTTTTCTCAAATATTCAGGGGTCAATCAATTCTTTGAATGCAGGTTAGTGTTCGTTACATTGGAAAGCTTCAGAAGAATGGGAAGATTTTCGATTCCAATATCGGAAAAGCACCTTTTAAGTTCCGTCTAGGTTGGCATTTAAACTATATACGTAAAAATAATAGCTTTGGAAAGTGGCTGAGAATTACAGACTGCGACTGTTACTTGATATTTGTGCGTTTGTACTTTGTTGTGATGCGCAGGTCTTGGACAAGTCATCAAGGGTTGGGATGTTGGTGTTAACGGTAACCTATTTTCTTACTGGCTTCTTAATGGGATGTGTGTGTTTTATGGTGTTAATGGTAACCTGTTTTTGGACACTGCAGGCATGCGTGTTGGTGACAAAAGAAAGCTTACAATTCCGCCATCAATGGGGTAAATCAACTGCAAATATGTTTCTTAGTGTTGGTTAATTAATCATTACGTATCTTTTGTTTAATCTTGTAAATATATTGTTTGGTTCAAAGGTATGGTGAGCGTGGTGCTGGTGGCCAGATTCCTCCTAACGCGTGGCTGGTGTTTGATGTCGAACTGATTGATGTCAAGCCAACCCGCTCCTGATTCATAGACATCTTTCAAAAGATGTGGATTTTTTGTGTTGTAGCTGCCAAAGATTGAATCTTTCCTCCCAACTCTTAAGGCTAAAGATTGCCAAAGATTTTTGATATCTTATTTTGTTTTCTTGTTGATTTTTGTGTTTCTCAGATTTTTTGTCTAGTGGCTCTTACTTGGCTCATTATTCTCCTCCTACGTTTACCTTTTTGTCTAGTGACTGGTTTTCCGGTTCTGGAAATTGTGTGGTGATGTTGGATTGTTGCGTTGCTGTCTCTTGAGTTACTCCTCACATCCTCGAGATTATTTGGTCTGAACATTCGAATACTATCTGCAATTTCAGGTTTAACTTTAAGACCCTTCCATAAACGTCACATGTGAGGAAGAAGAAAAAAAAAAAAAAGTCACATGTGACAAATTTTGACAATTTCTCATTAGTATTTCTATCCAATTATCCATGATTCATTTCATTTGTGGAAGTTTGAGAAAGTTTTCTCAATGTACTCTCTCTCTCTAGGTAACGTTAAATCAAGTGACGATTTTCTCATCTGGGACGGTCAGAGAAGAGTTTGACCGGTTTTCTGTTGACTCTTATCAAAATCTTTTGACCAGTTTTCTTTTATTATTACAGGACATGTAAATTGATGATCCATACGTTCACGGTCGCAACGGCCAACTCTCCGGCTTCTGTAGCCACACCTAAAGCTTTTCAATTTGGGCAACAAAGGGTCTTTGGACTTGGACATTTCTCACTTTTTTGGCCTGGCTAAGTATGTTATGGACTCGAGCTTTTGAGCCAATGATTGCATAACCCAAAATTTTCTACAAGAGCTTCTATCTTAAAGAAATCAACTTAATAGATAACTGGATTTTCAGATTGATACATATAGAGTTTTCATCTTTTTCTTGAATCGCACATTCATCGGCTTAATTAACGAAGAGTCTCCCCCTCAAAAGGGTTTACATACTTCATCATTCCTATTCTAAAGATGAGAGAAACTTACAAAACATAAACATCCTTTTTAACCTTGATTCTCTGGAACAGAGGAACTCAAGCTGTAGTTTCGAAGAGCAGAACTGACTTTCCTAAGTGTCTTTTGCCACTCCGTCTCTTCCCCTATTCACACAAATTCCACAAACAATGTTACAGAGACATATCAAGTCTTTTGCGTAAAGACAAAATTTAGAAAGATGTTTAATTACCTTGATCACTAGAAGATGCTCCTCCTCCTCCATGAAGCTGTCTTTTAGCTTCTTTCAAGAAAGAAAACACTTTTGGATTCAATCGATTATCATCCGATTTCAGACAAATGTCTCCAACTTTTGCAGATGTAACTTGACCAAGACAAGGTCCTTGTTTCCAGTAAAGACGGAATGTGCATCCACACACTTCGCTGCCTTCCTCGTCTCCACCGTGCTTCGTCCTCTCCACACGAACGACGATCGCGTCGTAGAATTTCACTTCTCCGGTGACGGAAGGACACGTGGCGCAGACGTTTGTGCCTTCTGATAAGGTCGGGCACTCAATGTCTTGCATCTGCACTGAAGTGGGTCGAAACCTCTGTTCAAACTCTTCGATCTCCTCTGAGTTCTTGAAATCGTCCGGTGGATAAACCTCGTCGTACTCGCAGGAGAAGCCTTTGAAGCTAACAACTAGATCGTCGCACAAGCTCCACACCTCCACGCCGTACCAGGCTTCGTCTTCCGGTGATCGGAACTCCATTTCCGGCCAGTTTTCGTTTGCCCATTCATCGTCGGAAAAGTCGCCGGAGAATATCGTCGGACTACTCATGGTGCTCTTATCAGACATTAGAGAGAAAGGTTTTTTCATCTTTTGAGGGTTTTTGTCAAAAGTGATGACTCTGTTAAGTGCAGAGATGAGTCGATGACATTGCAGCTTACTTTAAAGACCGGAAGCCCAAAACGTACAGATGTTAAAAGGTAAATTTCTGCATATTAAAAGTAAAAATTTTGTTTGAGCTCTTCCTCGGTAAATATCAGGATGAATCTATATTTATAATTGTGAGGTCAAAAATCTTACGTGTCGTCTACCGAGTGAGTTTAAGACTTGGTTTGCCTATATTATCTTTAATGATCTATATAATTACATATTATGCCATCGACAATTAGTTGATATGTGTTTATTGGGTTTAGATGTGAGATTTTCTTTGGCCCATAATTAGTGATCCGATTAGTTGTCGGTTATGTTAGTAAAACCCTAAGTGCAACTTTGTTATTTCTTATTCTATATATTGGGGTTAATTAGGGTTTGATCTTGAATATTTCTCCTCCGTCGATTTAGTTTCGTCTTTCTATACTTAATTTTTTATTGTTTGGTTTTATAGTTGTGCGCCATTATTATTATTTTTGTTCATGCATTGTATGTTGTTTGAGATTCAATTCTTCTTTGCCAAGGTATGAGTTTTCCTTAACCAGTTCCTCGGATGGTCCCCGGGCATGACCATGAGAAAGACGAGAGAATCTTTTTAGAGTTCTTGGAAGGTTCTACGA